CGCGGGTCTGAACCTCTCCTGTCTCTGCAGGTGCTCACGGTTGTATTTCTGCTGTGCATAGGAGTGCGTAATCCCAGGGTGATTTGGGCTGGAAGGGACCTTAAGGCTGAACATCACAGGCTGAATTCCTTACCCAAAATCAACTGCCTGATGTCAGAGCCTAGGGAAAGGAAATGGGAATCACAGAATCCCAGAATGGGTTGGGTTGGAAGGACCTTAAAGCACATCTCATTCCATCCCCTGCCATGGAGGGGGAAAAAAAAGTCTTCCCTTTTTGCAAAAAAAAAAAAAAGTAGGAAAGAGTTCAAATTTGCACTAATGACCTTAGTAGTGCAGATTAACTACCCTGGAACTCTCCAAGGTCGGGTTGGATGGGGCTTGGAGCAACCTGGGCTGGTACAAGGTGTCCCTGCCCATGGCAGGGGGTGGGATGGGATGAGGTTTGAGGTCCTTGCCACCCAAACCAGCCTGTGATTTTGTTGAATGTGTGTCAGTCTACTCCTGACAAAAACACCAGCCCTGAGAGACACTCACAGTTGCTTTCCTTTTTCCCTGCTTTCCAGTGAGTTTTTCCACTGCTGAGGTCCCTGCTGACGCCGCTAGGACCACGATGACTTTCACGGCGCAGAAGTGTGGGGTCTGCTTCCAGCCCCCATCCATCATCCTCATCTACAGAGACAACAGCCAGGACAAGACTCGCCAGCGCATCATGCCCGCCCGGAACTTCTCCAGGTTCTCAGGTGTGCTGTCTTCACCTGCAGCATTCCCAGATTCTCTCCAGACACAGGAGAGGAACACTCAGGCATGCTGCCTTCACCTGCAGCATTCCCAGATCCCCTCCAGACACAGGAGAGGAACTCCGGGGTAGCATCAAGCTGAGTAGTTTCTTCCCAGCATGCAGGGAGTGCACAGAGGGTTGTTTGGGGTGATGCTGTCTCCCTGAGGTGCCCAAGACTCTGCTAAGTGTGGAGGGTTTGGAGAGATCTCCTGGGGAGGGTTTGGGAGAAGATGTGTCTGTGGGAAGAGCTCGGCTGGCAGCTGTGGTTGCTGACAGTGCCTGTTGTCCCCAGACTGTGCCATGGCTGCGGAGCAGCTGAAGAACAACCCCCGGCACAAGGAGTACCTGGAAGGTGTCTCCCTGCGGCAGCTCCAGAAGCTGTACGGTCTGCTGAGAGGTCATCTGGGAGGAGAGACCCTGGCTGAGAGCCTGGAAAAGTTTCAGAAGGAACAGACCATTGACCCAGAGGAGGATATGAACAAACTGGATGACAAGGAACTAGCCAAAAGGAAGAGCATCATGGATGAGCTCTTCAAAAAGAACAGGAAGAAGAAGGATGACCCTGGTTTCATCTACGACATTGAGGTGGAGTTCCCACAGGATGAGCAGCTGGAGTCCTGTGGTTGGGACGTGGAGTCGGATGAAGAGATCTGATTCCAGGCAAAGGTGACTTGTGAGGGCAGGTTGGGGACAAACTTCACCCTCCTAGTAGAGAACCTGGTCAGTGTGTGCTCTGTCCCATGGCTCCCAGCACTGGCTCTGGAGAGCCCCAGGTTTCTGTGAGCCTTCTTTAAGCAGTCAGACTTGATGAACTGGGAACTGAGCAGCTGAAATTAGAGGCTGGTTTTAGTCTTTTCTTACATAAAAGAATGTTAAATTATTTAACCTTTCAGTTGTTTACATTCCAGTCAGGGTTGGCTGGAAATGAAGTGTTAAATACTCATGTCCTGAAAGCACAGCTAAGATGTACCGTGGTGTTCAAGATTACCTGCTGGGAAGTTAAATGTGTATCAGTCTTTTCTGGATAAATCAACCCTGCATCGAGGATGTTCCTCTCACATTTCCTGAGCAAGGCTTAAACCTCCAGCTTCAGCTTACACAGAGAGAAATCCTCATGTTTAAGAAATGCCTAGAGAATGGATTAGTGTTGAAGGTCCTTTTGGAAACACAGTGATTTCAAACTGTTGCACTGGGGTGGTTTGCTTCTTGCACTGCTGGATGATGCCTTCCCATAAAGTGCTCAGTCCTGGGAAAATGTATTAAAATATCCTCAAGAATTAGAGTGGTAGAAGGTCAAAGGCTGGGGGTAGTTCTAGAGCAAAATGAACCCTTTACTCATCCCACTGAAGGATTTCAGTAGTCCACTGTCTACCTTAGCTGGTCTGTACTAGCCAAATCTGCTCTGCTGCAGGAACTGGAGGACTGAATGTAAGATTCTTTAGGAAATGGGACAGCTCCAAAAGCTTCCCAGGTTTTGGCTTTGTGAACATGGGCAAGTGTGAGAGCTGTGGGTGGGATGGGCCTTCATCCCGAGCTGAGTGGCCTCAACAAACTGCTGCCTCAGGCAACAGGAGTTGTAAATGGCCTCCCAGACCAGCTCCTGTCTTCCTTCTTGCAACCACAAATGCTTTAAACCATGTTAAATTTATCAGTTGAGCCTTGGCTTGCCAAGCACCATGATGGGGGAGTGTGGAGTATCCCCCACACTGCTCAGTGCATCCCAGCACACACTTCTCACCTGTGCCCCAGGCAGGACCAGGTCCATCCTCACACGTGCTCCCACGGCTGCATCCCACAGCCCCTGCTGAAAGGAGAAGCAGCTCTGGCTGTGGTGGTGTGGGAAGAGCACACATCCATGCTCCGAGGCCTGCCCTGGCACCCACAGCAGGGAGGGGTGTCCACAGGGGCACCGTGCAAGACACACAACGTGGCAGATCTCAGGGAATCACCCACAGGTCACTGCTGTCCCCCAGAGGTGCTGCTTACCAGCAAGAGGAGGGCTGAAAGAGGCTGAGGGATTCCCCAGCTGGGGCCTGCTGTGGTTTTGGCTATTTTGGTCTAACATAGGGGCAGAAAATAGCCATTTCTGAGCCAGCTGGGTTTCCAGAGCCCTGCTGGCACTTGGCCCCAGTGGAGCTGCTGCCTGGGCCACCGTGGTCCCACCCATGGTGTTTTCCCAGCCTGGCATGGCCACTACTCACACAAGGCTTACCCATGACCCCAGTCCCTGTCCCAGGTGGGTGCTGCACTGCTGCCACCCTTGGCTCCTGCTGCCTGCGCCTGCCTGTGCTGTCCCCAGCACCCTGCCAGTCCTGGGCATCTCCCTCACCACCTTCCAGGACAACTGCACCTGCCTGTACTGTCCCCAAAACCCTCCAAGCCCCCACCACCCCTGCTCATCTCCATCACCACCTCCCAGGACAAATCCAGTGGGCTCAAGCCCCAGCACACCCCACACTATCCTGCTGAGCACACCCACACCCAGGCAAGGCCGAGTTCCTGGCGTGCCCACACCCACACCTCATGTTCCCAGTGAAGAAGTTTCACTGGAAAACCCCCAACGATCCCACGGTAATAAAGCCACTCTGGTTCCCAGCAGGGCTTTTGTGTTAGCACAAACCACCATCACTTCTCCTTTCGCCCCCAGAGGGGCAGAGCAGCACTTCCCCAGGGAGAGCCAGAGCATTCGGAGGAAACCCCCGAAGGGTGACACAGCGAGCAGGAAGGATTGCTCGTTTCCTCTGCGTGTTTCATCCAGCAGTTGCAGGAGAAAAACAAATCCATGATAAAATATCACCAGGGATATTATTTACTCTCCTTCCTTCCCATCAATATTTCACAGCGTTGCAACTGGGGCTGTTCTTAATGGGCTTTCCTAACCAGGGTCTGTGACTTAGTGAAGAAACAACAGGACAAAATGTGTCTTTCTGCCCTGCTGGCAACACCCAACTTATTGGCACACGCCCAGGGCGCACGCCCAGGGCTGCCTGCGAGTTTGGCAGTGCTGCCAAGAGCAGTGTGGGAGGCTGTGGCCACAGAGACCCTTCTGCACAGTGCCCAGGTGGTGTTTGCTCCAGCCCGGGGCTGCCACAGACCTGGAGGATGTTTTGCAGCAGAGACTTGGGGTGAATAAATAAAAGGACCTGCCTGAAGGGGTGAAAAGCACTGGGGGAAGCAGTCATGGAATCCCAGGATGGTTTGAGTTGGAAGGGACCTTAAAGCTCATCTCATTCCACACCCTGCCATAGACAGGGACACCTTCCACCAGCCCAGGTTGCTCCAAGCCCCATCCAGCCTGGCCTGGAACACTTTTAGGGATGGGACAGCCACAGCTTCTCTGGTTTGTGCCCCTTTGGCCAAGAGGTGTTTGATGTCACATCTGCTCATCTCTCTCCAACACCAGCTGAGGGTTTCTGCTGATTCACACACTCAGCCAGGTTGGAAAAGACCTCTGAGATCATTGAATCCAACCTGTGACCAATCCCAGGTCAACTTCACCAGAGCCCTAAGTGCCATGTCCAGTCTTTTCTTAAACACCTCCACTGCTAGTGACTCTACCACCTCCCTGGGCAAGACCTGTCCCTTGAGGATGTCCAACGTGACCTCAGGCTCCATCACCGGACATGGCCCTGCACCTTTCAAGCATCCTTAGGACATCCATAGCAGGAACAGCAGCTCGCCCAGCACTCTCTGTCCTCCATGGGGTTAGTGCCTGTAATCCTGACGGGATCCTCGGGATCCTCACTGCTCCTGAGCCCTTCCTCCTCCTCCTCCTCAGCCATCAGTAAGGGCCAGACACCCCACACCGGTTTTTCACCATTTTCAGCAGCTTCTCCTTGAGCATGAGGAACACCACAGCAAAGGCCACAAGGAGTGTCAGGCAGGTGGGCAGAACCAGCACCAGGTAGAGCAGGGCCAGGTCGGCCGTCTGCCAGCGGCAGCTGCGCAGGACGGGCTCGGGCAGCGCGCCAGGGTTCAGCGCCCGCG